ACATGGCATTACACTTTAATGTAATTACTGATAAGTTAGAGCTTATGCCTGACATTTAATTTATTTTTGGTTTTGTTTGATCTCTTTGTTTTTGTTTCTCTGTATTCTTTTTTCTGCCTTCCTGGGGATTACTTGAACTTTTTTTTTTTTAAGATTTTATTTATTTATTTATTTGACAAGAGACAGAGGGAACACAAGCAGGGGGAGTGGAAGAGGGAGAAGCAGGCTTCCCGCCGAGCAGGGAGCCCCATGTGGGGCTTGATCCCAGGACCCCGGGCTCATGACCTGAGCCAAAGGCAGATGCTTATGTTCAATCTTTTGTTGTAGTCTCACATGCTTCTTAGAATCTGTTCATTTTTTCCCTCAGTCTATCTTCTTTCTATTGTTCACACTGAATAATTTCTGTTGTTCTATTTTCGAGTTCATTCATTCTTTCCCCTGTTTCTTCCATCCTGCTGTTGAGCCCATCTATTATAATTTTTAAAGTTTCAGTTATGATATTTTTTAGTTTTAAAAATTTCATTTAGTTATTTTTTTATGTCTTCTATTTCTTTGACGAGACTTTCCATTTTCTTTTGTTTGTTTCTGTTATGTTTGTAATTGCTTGGGGAAGCATCTTTATGAACATCTATGTCATCTTGTTGTTGGTGCCTTTTGGTTGTCTTTTCTCATTCAAGTGGAGTTTTTCTGGCTTTTGATATAATGAGTGATTTTTTTTTTATTGAAACCTGGACTTTTGGGGTATTATGTTACAAGACTCTGGATCTTGCTTAAATCTTCTGTTTTTTATCATGCTTCTTCTAACACTGCTCCGGCATGGGAAGGGGAATACCACTTCATTGCTGCCGGTGGAATGAAAGTTGAGGTTCTTCAGTCAGCCTTCATTGGCACCTGTGGGGAGGGTCTTCTCATTACTGCTTGGCAAGGTGGGGGCTTGGGGTCTCTACTGTGCCCCTGCTATTACCACTCTGGCTGAAAGGAGCAGGGATGCCTTGTCGTAGTTCCTCTTATAACCTCCACTCACAGCACAGTGTGGAGGGATGCTTGTAACTGCTGGATGTTGGTGAAAACACCGATTCTCCACTGGGACTCCTCTGACACCACCCCAGTGGGTTGGTTACCAACAGGTGGGCAGGAAGTTCAGGTTTCCCATGTAGTATCCACTGATACTGTGTCAGACAGAGGGGGCTTGTTACCACCCAGTAGGAATGAAAGTTCTGCCTCCCGAACTGTCCTCCTCTGGAAGGGTAGAAGTCTACTTTCTGCACTTGACCTTTGTTAGCATGGGTGGTGCTGCAGTTTTTTTTTTTTTTCCCCTGTGGTGCTTGGTTGGAGTAGAGTGGTTATTATCTAAAACTTTTCTATCTTGCAAGGTTGCCCTATTCCTGGTCCTTTGCCTGAGAGAGCAGGCTTTTCAGGAGGTTTTTTTTTGTTTTTTTTTTTTAACCTGTGCCCATTGTTGTCTCGAGGTTTTCCACTTCTGCAGCACTCAGTCTAGAATATATGAGGCAAAACAAGACAAAACCTCAGAGAACTCACTGCTGTGTCAGTCCTTGGGTTCTGATGTCTAGAGCCAGTCTTCCTTCTTACGTCTACTTTTCAGAGTCTTCTTATGTTCATTTTATATACAGTATTCAGGGTTTTTAACTGTATTTAGCAGAAGGAATAGGGAGAAGTACACCAACTACACCATTCCAGGAGCAGACATCATACTTGCTTTGTTTTAAAATTTCATTTTATGATGAAAAAATTTAAACATACCCAGAAGTAGAGAGATTAGTATAGCAAATTCCTTTTACTCAGCTTCAACAATTTTCAACATTTTGCCAATCTTGTTTCATTTTTTTCTCCTCACTGTGAGGTTTGTTGGAGTCTTAACTCAAATCCTAGAAATAATATTATCTCACTCAATGTGAATGTGCATCTCTAACAGAAAAATGCTTTTTAAAACATAATCACAATGCCATGATCACATTTCACTAATTAACAATAAATCCTTAATGTACTTAAATAAGAATTCATATTCAATTTCCCCTGATTGTTTCAAGAAGTGTTTTTAAAACTGGTTTTCTTAAGATAGGATCCAAACCAACTGTAACACTGTATTTGGTTGTTATCTCTTTTAAGTCTCTTTTAAAAATCTATAAATTTCCTAGGCCAGCCACAGAAAAACAAATACTGCATGACATCACTTGTATGTGGAATCTAAAAAAGTCCAACTCATAGATGCTGAGAGTAGAATGGTGTTTTTCAGGAGCCAGAGGGTGGGGGAAATGGGGACATGTTGGTCAAAGAGTACAAAGTTTCAGTTATGCAGGATGACTAAGTTCTGGGGAGCTAATGTACAGCATGATGCCTGTAGTTAATAACACTGTAGTGAATACTTGAAATCTGCTGAGAGAGGAGATCTTAACTGTTCTCACCATAAGAAAGGTAACTATGTGAGGTGATGAATATGTTAATTAACTTGATTGTGGTAATCGTTTCACAATGTATATGTATATCAAAACATCATGTTGTACACCTTAAATATATACAATTTTTGTTTGTCAGTTATACTTCAAAAAAGCTAAAAAAGGATCTGTAGTTTTCCCATCTTTCTTTTTCTCATCCCGTTTTTTTTTTTTTTTTAAGATTTGATTTATTTATTTGACAGAGAGAGAGATAGCAAGAGAAGGAACACAAGCAGGGGGAGTGGGAGAGGGAGAAGCAGACTTCCCGCAGAGCAGGGAGCCCGATGTGGGGCTCAATCCCGGGACCCTGTGATCATGACCTGAGCAGAAGGTAGACGCTCAAAGACTGAGCCACCCAGGCGCCCCTCTCATCCCATTTTAAATCCTATTTATCATTGAAGAAAACAGGTCATTTTTTTTCTATAAAATATTCCACATTCTGGATTTGCCCGATTGTTTTTTAGTGGTGAAAATGAACTTGTTCTTCTATCTCCTATATTTACCATTAACTGAGAGTTAGAGCTAGACACTTGATTAGATTTAGGTTCAGATTTTTTTTTTTTTAATTTTTGGCATCAATATACCATAGGTGGTGCTGATGCTTACTATTGCATTACATCAGGGGCACATAATATCTAGCTATCCCACTCTTGGCGATGCTAAAGTTGATCAGTGGGTTCAGGTGAGATCAATCTGGTCCATCCATTGTAAAATTCTTCATCATCATTTGCCTGATCTTTTTTCATCCATTCATGATCATTGCCCTAGATTAGTGGTTTTCAACCAGAGATAATTGTCCTCCATGTCTGAAGACATTTTTGATGATCACAACTCGGTGGTGGTGCTAATAGTGTCTCATGCTGCTAAAAATCCTACAATGCATAGGACCGCCCCCAAATAAAGAATTATCTGTCCCCAAATATCAAGAGTGCTGGGGTTGAGAAACCATGGCCTAGATTTGTTATTAGGTATTGTAAATGGTGATGTACTATTTCTGTCATTCCTTCCGTGTTTGCTATCTGGAATTGTTGCATAAAGAAGAATATCACTATTTGGTTACCCTGAAATACTGTTCATGAAGGAAAGGCAGAGTAAATTCTTGATTTTTCCCTTTATTAATTTTTGCAATAATAATTTGGTGCCCTAGTATCAGCCGGGGGTAACCACTGTTTTTTAATGTCACTCTGAAATTATGTATTTCATACATCTGATGCTTGATTAATGGTAGGTTTTTTGATGCTCTTATTGTCTCAATATAGGCAAGTGGGGATTCTCCTTCATCTTGGATCCTGTGTTCCTTTGACGTGATTATATTAATCTTTGATATCGCTCTTGCTTTTTGGCAAAACAAGATGTTCCAGGCTCATTTTGTACATTTCTTGTGACAGACCCATAAACAACTAATAATTTCTTAAAGGAGGTTTGGCTTCTTTTGGTGGGAAATGACATTTAGAGACCACAATCTGGGCATTAGATATACTCATTGCTACTAGGTTGTCATTGCTGCTATGTCTTTTCAGTGAACAGAGCTAGGAAATACTTATTTTTCCAGAAAGAAAAATAAATAGATAAGTTCATAACATTTTGTAAGTATTTTTATTTCCCCAACTTTCTTACACAAAAGGTGGCATCTGTATACAATATTCTATACTTTGCTTTTTCCAGTTAACAACATATCCCAGATATTATTCCCATATAGATATCAATCTCATTTCATAGTATTCTATATTTTAATTTATTAAAAATTTTTCCCAGTTTTTCTATTTTATGACTCCACTGTAATTTATTCAACTGGTCCCCTAGTGATGGACATTTGTTGACTTTTTCCTCCAGTCTTTTGTTATTATACATAGTGTTGCAATTAATGGCTTTGTGCATATGTCATCCTGTACTTTTGTTGGTGTATCTTTGGGTTAGGGTCCTAGGATGGGATTACAGAGCCAAACAATGAATACACATGTGATTTTGCTAGACATTGCTAAATTTCTATTAATTCCAAAATTTAATATAATTTTGTTTGTATTGCTTTTAGTGGTTTTAAAAGGAACCGGATTTACTTGCAACCAGTAGTAAATAAGCCATAGAGATCTAATGTACAGTATAGTGAATACAAGCAACAACATTATATTATAATCATAAAACTTGCCAAGAGACTAAATCTTAATTATTCCAACCACAAAAAAGAAATGATAATTATATGATGTGATAGAAGTGCTAATTATCACTACAATGGCAATTCATATTACAACAAATAAATGTATCAAATCAACATGTGCACTTTAAATTTATATGATGTTATATGTCAAATACATTTCAATAAACATAAACCAAATAAATAAAAAATTTAAAAAAATTTAAAGAGGAACAAAATTTTGAAAAAGAATAAAAAGTGTGATCAGGAGTTTTAACTACTAGTTTTGGTAACAAGATGTACCCTTCCCACCCTTCAAACTTGAAAGAGACATTTAGGACAAGCGCAAGAAGTCAGATTCCACACTTCAGTGAGTAAAACTGGGGAATGTGTTCTTTATTGTGCCTCTGTCGAAGCTCAGGCCCACGGCCTTGCTACATCCCACAAGGCTGACCTCCAGCACCGGATACGGATTTTGGGATTCCAGAGTTTCCCTCGAGGACAGGGATACAAGGGTTGGTTGGCCAGATGCTGTGCCAGAACGCAGGAGGCTGTTCAGAGGCCACGGTATGAAGCAGATACGTAAGGAATCAAAAGTGTAAGTCAAATGGGGCAGAAGTCTGAAGGATGATAGAGTTGCTAAAGGCTGAGGGAAGCTGAGACACAGAGTACCTCTGGCCGCAAAGCTGCAGGAATGGCTGGTTAGAATATGATACAGTGTAACTTACATCGTTGCAATAGATCTACATCCCTCACAAACATGACCTTGCTCTCTTTGTGAGCCTCCTTTGTTTCGGTCAGAGAGGGGCCCCAGACACTGGAATCACAGATGTACAGGCTACCCCAGGGCTAGATGTGTGCTTGAACTCTTCCATTTTGTGCCCCTTGCACACCACTAGGCCTGCTGCTTCCCTCTGTAGGGCTGGCACCTCCTGGATCCCGATGAGCCCATTCTTCATTCTCCTGGTTGTTGGTATGGCTCTGGGGGTGCAGGGCATGAAGTCTTGTCCTGCTGCAATGGCAAGTAGGGACCACTGAGCTGGATCCTTGGTCATCATGAATGGGCTGGCAGGGGGGCTATTCCTGAGCTTAGCGAAGTTTGGCGTGGTCTAAGTGGGATGGGAAGAGCCCGCCTGACTAGCAACTAGACCCAAGGGCCCTGGTGCTGAGTGTATTTGCCATTTTCCCCTTTCTTTAGCCCAGTGAAAACTTGCAGACCACGAATGGGATGTCAGGGGCCTGGACAAAGTAGGTGTCAAACATCTCATGGTTGATAGTAGGTATCTTCTGAGTGGGAACAGGTATAGAAGCGGAGAGTAAGCACAAGGAAATTCAGGCTACCCAATGATTTTGTGCTGCATTTCTATAGTGAGAATAATATTAGTACCTACCTCATCAGGGTGTCAAGAGGTTTATGTAACTTAGTAAAATACTTATAAAAGTGCCTGGCATATAATAAATCGTCAATAAATTTTAATTATTTGATTATAATTATTGTGTGTAAATTAGAAATCATGTCATGTCAATTCCTTGCTACTCCCTTGCCAAATGATTCCCACTGCTAGTGGGATAATATTCAAATCTTATACAATGGTCTGCAAGGCTTCAGGTGATCTGGTCCCTGCTTGTATCTCTACCCTCATATCACTCTCCTCCTTCTTGGTTACCAAACTCAAGTCATTCTGGCCTTATTTTCATTTCTTAAAATCATGAAGCTCCTGTTGGTCTCAGGACTTTTGCACTTGCTCTATGCTTTTGCAATCAGAAAAAAAAAAAAAAAACTTAAAAGAGACACTAAAATCCAGAATAAAGAGAAGTTTGAGAATCTTGACTACATAATAATCTTAAACATCATAAAGTTTAAAAATGAAATAAAATACAACAGTCAAATGATAAATGGGAAAAATACACTAGAGTATGGCTGATGAAGGGTTAATAGCTTAGTGGATAAAGAATCCAAACTCTGGATTCCCACTGCTGGGTTTGAATCCCAGGTCCATCATTTATTGGCTGTCTGACCTTGAGCATCACTCAATCTCTCTGTGTCTCAGCTTCCTCACCTCTAAAACGGGGATGATAACAACACCGACTTCCTAAAATTGTAGTAAGGGTTAAACCTATTGAAGGAACAACTCTTGGCATACTTCAGGTGCCATATAAGTGTTACTTATTATTGTTAATAAGAAGCCAAAAAAATAGGCAAACGATGTGAACAGATAGTTCACATGAACAGTAATACGAAATGGCCAATAAACATTTGAAAATATGGTCAACTTCACCCATAATGAAAAGCATGCATTCGTTTGTTTCACAAATATTTAAATATGCATTAAGTGCCAAAAAGGCATTGGGAATAGAAAACATCTTACTCTCGTGGAGTTTACATTATAGTAATTTTTTTATATGTATGTGTAATATTTAACACATCATGTGGTGGTAGTGTTTTGAAGAAAAAGCAGAGATGGGGTGTTATTTTATTTTATTTTATTTTTTTATTTTTTTTTAAGATTTTATTTATTTATTTGAGAGAAAGAATGAGAGAGAGAAAGCACATGAGTGGGGGGAGGGTCAGAGGGAGAAGCAGACTCCCTGCTCGGCAGGGAGCCCGATGCGGGACTCGATCCCGGGACTCCAGGATCATGACCTGAGCCGAAGGCAGTGGCTTAACCAACTGAGCCACCCAGGTGCCCGATGGGGTGTTATTTTATATAGAGATCAAGGAAGGACTCTGGCATTTAAGCAGCGATCTGACGTGAGGGAGAGAGCCATGAGGATTTCTAGGGGAAGAGCTTTCCGAGCAGAAGTAGCAGTAAAGGTGCAGGCTTGGAAGCAGGAGCCTGCTTAGCGTAGTCAAGGAACAGCGGTAACTCCAGTTTGTTTGGGGCAAGGCTGAGTTGATAGGAAGTGAGGTCTAAGAGACCACGGTCAGACTCTATAGGCTTTAAAGGCTAGGATAAGGACTTCGGACATCACTAGGAGTGAACTGGAAAGCTTGCTATCATTTAGAATTGTAATCACCTATAGATGACTGGGATCCAAATAACAAAGGCTCAAACACGATGATGTTTCAAGTGTGTTATTGATTCTAAGACACTATTGACTGTAAGACACACCATTACTATATGTACCACCAAGAAAGAAAAAAAAATGCTGCCAAATATAATCATAAACTGTCATTCAAAGATTTCAGAGATGCTGAAACATGAAGAGGTGTACCTCTTATCTTAGAGTTGGTAAAATATGGCTTTTTTGTTTTCCTCACGTAAGAATAGGTCCAGAGGTAATCCGTTTTCTCGTTACGAGATGGTTACTCAGCTATAACCATTATGTCCTCATTTTCAGGAGGAAGAAGGAGAAAGTAGGAAGGGGGAAGATGCCTTTCATTCTTCTATATTAATTTTGTGAAAGTCTCCCCCCTAAAACTCACTGGAATTTTTATTGGCATTGCATTGGCTATGTAGATCCACTTGGAGAAAACTGCCTGATGCCCAATATATAGTGCTACATTGTAGCTCAATATGTATGTTAGTCTCATTTCTATTTCATAAAAAGGATAAATGTGTAAGACATGCTTGTATTTGCATAGAAAAGTTCACAAAAGGTACATAAGAAACTGTTAACAAGTAGTCATTTCAGGGGAATAGATTGGGTGTGATTGGCAGGGAAGAGAGGGGCTTTAACTTTTCATGTTATGCCTTCTTCTAAACCTTCTAAACCCTTTTTAAAAACCACAAGTATTGGGGGCACCTGGGTGTTAAGCCTCCGGCTCAGGTCCTGATCTTAGGGCCATGAGATCGAGCCCCAAGATTGGGGCTCCCTGTGGAGTCTGCTTCAGATGCTCTGCCCCTGCCCCTCCCCCCACGTGCTCGCTCGCTCTCTCTCAAATAAAATCTTTCAAAAAAAAACCCCACAGGGCGCCTGGGTGGCTCAGTCAGTTAAGCACCTGCCTTCAGCTCAGGTCGCGATCCCAGACTCCTGGGATCGAGCCCCGCATCCGGCTCCCTGCTCAGCTGGGAGCCTGCTTCTCCCTCTGCCTGCTGCTCTCCCCCTGCTTGTGCTTTCCCCCCGCAAGTAAATAAATAAAATCTTAAAAGAAAAAAAACTTAAAAAATAATAAAAAGTAAAAAACCCCCACAAATATTGTATATATTAGTTTTATCGTAATAAATATAAACCAGCAACCTTAAAAGTGGAGTGTGCATTACCCTGGGGATACAGGTACTCTCCACGGGGTAAACAAGCAGAGTTTTAAGAGGATCTATTATCCTCAAATTTCGTATTTCATATTTCCTAAAATCAATCTGCCAGAGAACACACATGTGGTGGCAGGATCAATGGTCCCTTCTGCATTTTACAAAACAAAGCATACCTTTCACCTATCCTGATTCTTAGCTGGGTGCACTGCCCCAAGGTATAAAATCTACAGGGCACCAGACAGTGCCAAACACTGTCGTCAACAGTGAAGAAAAAAAAAATTGCTCTAACAAATGAATGGGGATCAAATCCTTTTGCAGTTCAGATGGCTTCCCATAAAACTGAAGGAAAACCCCATGGAGTGGAGCTGTCAGCTGATAAATCGGGAAAAATAATTTTGAAGACAAATCATTGTGTGACCCCCCCCCATAGAGCTCCAAAGGAATTCAGAGACTTGAGTAACATTGCTAAAACAAATGTGCATTCCCATTTAGTTATTTATATAACGGAGGTTCCTGTGTGCTAACGTTTAACCAAACACAAAGTAGAAAAGAGAACTGATGCTGAATTCTGTCTCATTCTAGCCATAAGCAATATTTATCCATGAAGACACCCACTAACTTTAAAAAAAAAGACTTATCTCTAATACACTTTAATTTTTACGTTTAATAATTACCTAGCAGAATTTGTAATATACTTACAATTTTTTGATCCATCGCATTCTAATACTAATTGTCCTAATAACTCAAGCAAGAGTAAATTTTTACACAACACTTAGAGCTTTAGGCTCACAGGAACATTTAAAAAGCATTTAAATAGCAAAATATATATACATTTTTGCCTTAGGGAAAGATGATAGATTAACAATAAAATAATTTTGAGTGCAAAAATATATTTGGGTGAAATTCTGTTAGAATAGAATAGAATGAAGAACCTAGGAAGAAAAGGAAAAATGTACAGCTCCCAGCCATCAAGAACTCATTTGTGAATTTTTAAAAGATGATGGTCGCTCTCAAATTAAAGTATTTGGGTTCCACTAGTTTCATGTAAAATTGTGACATAACAGTTTTGTTTGTGAATGTTAATATTTGTCAGGATTCACATTGTTTGCAGCTGACATTTTTGATGCAAAATTTTAGATGCCAACCCAAAAAATGTGTGAAGGAGCCCAAGGTTAAAAAATATTTTTAGAGTGTATTGGGATATAAACCAATAGTTTTATAGAAACGTATAAATGTCCGGGGAAGTGTCATATACTCTTTTGCCACCTTGTGGTCAGAACTGTGCTCAACCCCACGTGGCCCGACTATACTGAGGAGGGGTCTCTCCTTAAGTGGGCCCCTTCCGCTAACCTTCAGTCAGGTCTTTGTGAGGCAGACATGGTGACATTTGCCCAGGACTGAATGGAGACACATGCAAGCAGGCTGACGCCCTGCCCCCCACCCTCCTGCACGTGATTCACAGCAAAAGCAACATGCAATCAGGAAAGAAACGTAAGGAAGTACAACAAAATTCTGACTTTTCTCATGAGGACTAAAAAAAAAAAAAAAAAAAATCAAATGTCAAACTGTTTCCGATATATTTTTTTCTCTATTCTTTTGTTTTTGGTGCCTCTTCTCAGCTGGTGACCCAGACACTTCCTTAGTCTGCCTTTGGGGAACCCAGCCCTGATTGTGGCCCTGGGGCCAGCTTGTTTGGTTCCACACTGTCCACAGCTCCTAGTGCAACACCCGGCACTGGGTTGGAGCTGAATACACCTTTGCTGGGCGAATGATGGCTGAGCCTCCTGACTTCCAGAACCTGCCGGACATGCGGGCTTCTGCTGGAGGTTGATCAGTAAGGTAGTCAGGTTGCCATGGTTAGGCTTCAGGGGTAGAGGGTAGACAGTCTTAGGCATACAGAGATCTTTAGGTCTTTCTGACGGCCGTCACTTTGCGGAGGTGGGATGAGAGTACCCTCCCCAGCCTCCCTCCACTCCATGACCTCAGTCATTTCTAGCAGCAGCAGGAGCAGGATTCCTTCAGTGGGTGTGCTAGTTGCAGTTCCTCTGGTTGCAGGCCACAGAGGGCAGGCATTTATTGGAAAGATGCTGAGGTGCTTCAAGGAATTGAAGCAATGAGTTGGCTTAGGAAGGCAAGGCACCAGGGCAGCTGCTGGGGACCTCAGCTGTATGGGAACCGAGCATCTCATTCTTCTTAAAGGCTCCTAATTCTTGACGACCAAGTCCTGCTGCTAACCCCGGGAGGCCCAGGCACCACCTCCTCCCTGCAGGAAGGGGCCAGGCTGAGGGCCAAGGTCCAGCGCTAAGCAAGCAGAACTCTGCTAGGGTACACAGCCCCACGGGCCAGGCAGCGTATTCCCCGCCAAGGCCAGCCGTCCCAGGACTCAGGGAACGGACTCTTCCTAGAACACCCTCTCCTTGATCTTTGGACACTGGCGATCTACTTCTTCGCAGCGCCGTCCTGACTCCCTGGCACCAGCGGCCCCTTTCCCCAAGTGCCCGCGGCTCTCAGTGCAGGAGTTCTGCGAGGCCCTCAGACCCAGGCCCCCCCCCCCCCCCCCCCCCCCCCCC